TATAATCAGACAATCATACCTTCCAAAATAATTTATTGAAAGAGAAGAGGATGTATTATAGCATTGAAAAAACTCAAAAATAGGCATAACAACACAGTCGTAATTTCAGCAAATTGTAAAATTTGTGTAGTCTTTGGTTGTACACATACTGTTCGGTGTCATACTGAAACATGTAAAGGAGAGTTTAATACAGCATTCTTATGCAACTTCCACAAGAGGAAACACTTGCTCTCTTGTTTAAAAATATTTTATTTATTTTTTTATTTTATGTGTATGTGTGTATTGCCTGCATGTAGGTAAGTGCACCCATGTTGTGTAGTGTCCTCAGAGGTCAGAAGAGGCTATCGGATCCCCTCGGTCTGGAGTTATGGACAGTTGTTGGCTATCATGTGGGTGCTAGGATTCAAACCCAGGTCTTTGCAAGAATAACCAGTGTTCTTAACCACGAGCCATCTCTCCAGCCCTGTTGCTCTCTTTTTTAATATTGAAATACAACCTATGTATAGTTATGTATATATTTGAACTTCCTAAATACACAGCTCAGTGGGTATTTATCTTCATACATAGATAATCTAGATCAGCTGATTATACTTACAGCCATCCAAAGGGATTATTCCTTCTTCCTCCCAGTTAATTGTATCGCTTCACTAGCCACCGTGCTAATCCTTACCACTTTTTGTTAGTTTCGGCACTATTTGGCATAAACGGAGTCATACAGCATTAATGCCTGACTTCTTTTGTTCAGCATTATTTTGTGAGCTCTATTCATGTGCTTGTATATATCATAAGTTTTGGGGGGGTTTTTTTGTTTTGGTTTTGGTTTTGGTCTTTTTGAGATAGGGTCTCCCTGTAGCCCCAGCTGGCCTGGAACTCACTTTGTGGATGAGGCTGGCCTTGAACTCATAGAGATCTGTCTCCCAAGTACCAGGCCTAAAGGCGTGCACCACCACGCCTGGCAGCCCTTGTGTTCTATGCAAATGTATTCCATATATAATGAATTTTTAGTTTGGGGGGGGTTGTACAGAAACAAGGTCTAAGTGAAAAAGAACTTGTATGACATGTATAGGGCACTAGATTTGGTCTCCAGCATAGATAGGGAAGCGCATACAAAATCAAGAGTGGTGACGTAATCATATATTTTGTTACAGAGAGAAGCTGCATGAAGCCAACAATGAATTGCAGAAAAAGAGAGCCATTATTGAAGATCTTGAACCAAGATTTAACAACAGCTGTAAGTTTTTTCTAATCAGCATGATTAGCCATTCATTATCCTAGAGATAATAAGTTTATGCAATTTGTTTCTTTTTGAAATACACCTTTTAGCTATTCTAGAAATTAAAATTTTTCCTTAGGTGACTAGTTGGCTCAGTGGTTCAGAGCACTTCTGCTCTTCCTGAGGACAAGAGTTTGGTTCCCAGAACACACATCAGGCTGCTCACAACCTCCTATAACTCAGCTCCAGGGGATCTAATGCCCCCCTCTGGCCTCTGTGGGTGCACACACTTACACATGCCCACACACAGCATACACTCACAGACACATATATAAATTTTTTTAATCTTATATAAAAAATAGTTTCCTGGATGCTATAGAAATGACTCCGTGGTTCAGAGTGCTTCCTGCTCTTTCCGAGGACCAGAGTTTGGTTCCCAGCATCTGTATTGGTTACCTCATAACTGCCTGTAATTCTAGCTCCAGTGGATCCAATACCTTGGGTGTCTGCTGACATGATACCTGCACTCACATGCACATACCATGCACAGGCACTCACATGCACATACCATGCACAGGCACTCACATGCACATACCCATGCATAGGCACACACATGTACATACCATGCACAGGCACTCACATGCACATACCCATGCATAGGCACACACATGTACATACCATGCACAGGCACTCACATGCACATACCCATGCATAGGCACACACATGTACATACCATGCACAGGCACTCACATGCACATACCCATGCATAGGCACACACATGTACATACCATGCACAGGCACTCACATGCACATACCCATGCACAGGCACACACATTTACATACCATGCATAGGCACTCACATGCACAAACCCATGCACAGGCACACACACGTACATGCCATGCACAGGCACACACATGCACATACCCATGCACAGGCACTCACATGCACATACCATACATACACATACCCATGCACAGGCACACACCTATGCATAGGCACTCACATAATTAAATAGTGATAACAAATCCTTTTTAAAAAATAATTTGTCTTACATCTTAATGTACTAATTTATGAAATTTTCTCTATGAGTTACAGTGAATGTTATGTGAAACTGGATATTTTCAGTGTAATCATGTGTAAGTTAGCCATACTTGCACTGTGGTGTAATTATACGTAAATTA